CTCTATGCATCATTCTCTGTTATTCATTCATATTTCTCTGTCAATTTATGCACCACCAGCAGACTGGGTCCCATGAGCCACTTGGCATTTGCAGCACCATGATCCAGGATCACTTTGCTGCCAGGTGAGGGCTAGATATATTAACACACACACACACACACACACACACACACACACACACACACACACACATTTAAGGAGGAAGAATGGGAACTAGGGGAGGAAAAATAGAATAAAAGTCATGAGAGTATGCAGATGTAGAGGCTAGGTAAAGAAGGAGGCTGTATGAATTATGTCAAATGCTGCTGGTAGATTAGTTAAGATAAAGAACAAGACTTGAGCTTTATTTAGCTTGGGCGGTCATTGGTGACCTAGTCAGGAGCGGTTTGTAGCTAGGCAGAGCTCTTCTCTATGGTCTCTAAGGAGGAAGGTAATATAAATATGAATGCTGTAACTTAGGTTACATATATCGTCAGAGTTTAGAGCCAGCCAATGGGAGAGCTGCTACTTCTCCAGCCAAGGTGACTCTCACACCTTCACACTTACACAGCATATTCTACTGATCTCCTGATTATTGAGACGTTTTGACCTCTGCCTTGGTTGTTTCTTCTTCTGGGCATTTTATTTTGTATGGTAAAGTTTCAGGACTCAATTTAGAGTTTGATAATAGGGCAGTAGTGGAAATGATTGGAGGTGCAGGCAAGATACGAGGTAAGACAAGAAAACAAGTTCCTTCTACTGAATGGAATCTATTTCTGCTGCAGAGTAAGAGCTGGCAGGCATGTTTTGCTTTTGGCAAATCAGTAACTGCTAAAGTTGATGCAGGTGGGTGATAGATGGAAGATCAGTGTAGAGCTCGGGTAGCTGATGGTAGCTGTAGACATTAAAAACACCATTAATATGCCTCAAAATCTGTGAAAGCCTTTTCAGATTGTGATTATTTCTGAAAAGATAGCCACGCAGTTATTCAAAACTTATACCTCACATATTTAGAGCTGTTTCAGTAATAAGAAATAAGTGTGTTGCCGTGTTACCATCTGTGCACTCCACACAGTCTTCTGAATACTGGGACTTCTTTTACCATAGCAACCCTAAAGTGTCGAGTTCAAGTTGCTTGTCATCCAGATGGGAAAGGATGGTCTTGTCAGCTGCGTGCTGTGAGTCTGTCAGAAGGTTGTGTCCCTCACAGCCCCTTAATCTCAGAAACGCTTTGCTAAGGAAGAAGCTGAGTAAGGGATTTCTCTTCTTGCCTCCTCCCTCCCTCCCCTGCTCTCTCCCTCCTTCCCCCCTCCCTCCCTCTTTCTCTCCCTCCCTCCTTCCTTCCTTTATCTTTCCTAGTACTGGATTTCTTTCCTGAATTTTCTCTCCTAGCTCCCTCTTCATCGTCTGCTTCAGTTTTTCCAAGTCTTTAATAAATTTGTAGTAAGGACACAGGCATAGAGAAAATTCATCTTGTTTTTGTTTTCTTTTCTTTTCTTTTTTTTTTTTTTTTTTTTTTTTTTTTGGTTTTACGAGACAGGGTTTCTCTGTATTGTTTTGGAGGCTGTCGAGTCCAGCCTGGCCTCGAACTCACAGAGATCCGCCTGCCTCTGCCTCCCGAGTGCTGGGATTAAAGGCGGTGTGCGCCACCACCATCACCCGGCTTGTTTTTGTTTTCTTGAGTTCTCACTGTGTATCTTTCGCTGTCCTGGGATTCACTGTGACGACCAGGCTGGCCTTGAACTCAAAGAGATCCTCCTGCTCCTGCTTCCCCAGTACTAGGATTTTAGGCATGTGTAACCACTCCTGCTTCTAGAGTCCAGAGCCATTTTCCCTTGAAGCTCAAACAGTCTGTGAAAATTTGACAAAACAATGTACCTCACAGTTCCAGATCCTCACACTTGTACAACAAGTGCGTTCTCCACCGAGCCATTGCCCCCATTCTGTCTTGAGTTTCCAGAAGCATCTAGAATAAGATAATACTATAGTTTGAAATATAGCATTTCTCTCTGAGAGCACTAGTTAGAAAATGTTAGTATACATACATACAGTACTTTGCAAAGTTAGTAACATAATTTTTTCAAGCATTCCTATTAAGCTACACTGACTATTTTAGTCATTAGTGTAATAGTTTCGTTTTTGGCCTTTCTATGAATATAGGATATTTTTTCCCAATGGATCCTGTGACTTGGTTTATTTTGATTTGCTATAAAATTTTTTGGGAATATAGTTCCTTTCAAGCAATAGATGATAATGTTAGCCATATCAAGAATGGAGTATTAACAAATGAATTGACTATTTGAATGCTGGTGACTGACTGGAGAACTTATATGGTCTCCTTTTCTACTTAAAATAATCCATAGCGATATCATTCTGTGTTTTGGCTCGTCAGTTGAAGTTCAGATTTAGATTCTTGTGGTCTGATGATTAAATCTGTCCCAAATCCTGTGATCTGATGATTCAGTTGAGTTAAATTTGGGCTACTTTGCTCATTTCACATTTGTAGTCAGTTATTTAGAGATAAGTTTAGCCATAGAAGTATTTGTTATGATTTAGTGCTGTAAGCCATATTGTCCTTTATTTCATGTTATTGCATTAGTGCTTCTGGTGGCTTTTCTAAAGTTTCACTTTTATTTTATTAGACTTTTAAGGGCTTGGGAAAGTAATGTTATGAGGTACTTACTACTGTCTACCCGTAGACTTAGGTCTGTTTTCATTGCCTTTAACTTGGGTTTGGTATTGAATGGCTCCTGGAGTATCTAAGGGATGGTGTTCTTCCCAGAAGTCCTCAGGTGTGTTCAGTGCTTTGTGCTTGCTTGTTTGCTGGAAGAAATTTTTGGTGATATGATTTAAAGTGAATGTTGTCACCAGGAAAAATGAACTCCTTCCAAATATTCTTTTCCAGAAAGTCTTTTTTGAGAATGCCATGCTTCCAGGAACACACTGTTCCAAATTTATTAAGATCAGTTCAGAGCTTAGTTTTCCTTGCTAGTATCTGATAAGAATATGGAAATAATTGTAATCTTATGATAGCTTGTAAAACTGACATGACACAGTCTCATGATAGCTTGTGAACTAGATAAGACACAAACAGACTCTATTCATAAGAAGTGTCTTTTTGAAAATTTTCTTTCAATATATACCTTTTATTTGTAATGAGAAGATGTTTTGGAGAAAGACTGAAAGTTATACATTGCAGTCAAAATAAAGATAGTATGTAGCCTGTTTAATGGTAGGCATTTTAATATCCCTCCTACCTTTTTACTTCCCCTTTTTTTGATAATTTCTTTTGGTTGATCATGTGCTGGACTGTAGGTGACTCCCGGATCTAGCAGAGCTCTGCTTTGTCAGGAGCTCTCTTTGACTGCTTTATTCTGACTTCTCCAAACTCATTATTTATTTAGGTCTTTAGCCACACAGTTCTAACAGTTAAGTGGGTTACCAACTTCATCTTAATTTTGTTATGTGAAACAATGATTTCTTGTGTTTATGCTTTCCTGCAAGAGGTATACCTGATTATACACTGTATATCTATCATTCTAAGTTAAATCTCCTCACCAGACTTCGCTTAAAGGAAATTATTTTTCCTCTGGATTTCACTGCAAAAAGAACCTATTTGACCTTTGGAGTAAGTGTGGTTATATGAGTTTCTCATTAAGTATGTTCACTGAATGGTCAGCACACAGTGAAACAGATCTTTTTGTTTCTTTGTTTCGGGAGGGGATTATTATTTTATACTACTTTGGAAACTTTCTGAGGTTTGAGACCACTGTACTCGCAGTGGCAGAGGTGAAGGAAGACCTAGATTCTGGGGTCTATCACTTGTCATTTCCTGACTCTGCTTCAGTGTCTGTGAAAAGAGAGTGCTATAGTGCTTACCTTATGGAATGCCAGTATTGATTGAAATTAATTATGTTTATATTTACACCTGCACAGTGCCTAGAAGGAGTCTTAGACCTTTGGAAGTTCTTTACAATCTTTGTCCATAGTTTTTTGTGCCCTTTCCCTTTCCCTTTTCCTTTCCCCTTCCTTTTCCCTTCCCTTTCCCTTTCCCTTCCCTCCCTCCCTCCCTGCTCCTCCTTCCCTCCTTCCCTTCCTCGTTTCTCCTTCCTTCCTTCCTTCCTTCCTTCCTTCCTTCCTTCCTTCCTTTCTTTCTTTCTTTCTTTCTTTCTTTCTTTCTGTTTTTTGTTAGTTTGTGTTTTTTGGAGACAATGTTTTTTTTTTGCGTAGTCCTGGCTGTCCTGGAACTCTTTGTAGACCAGGCTGACCTAGAAATCAGGGATCTACCTGTCTCTGCTTCCCAAGCTCTGGGATTAAAGGCATGCACCATCAAAGCCAGGTGGCATATACTGAATTTTCTGAATATAGGTTTTGTATTTGACTGTTTTATTCATGGAAGATGACTTGGCACCAGACAGTCAAGGCTTAGATTTGAGCACTATGGCTTGTTAGTTCTCTGCCTCGGGAGGTAAAGTTTAAACCTCATTCTCCTGTCTTCTAACCTGGGAAGATTATTTTTAGGATTTGAAATAAATAAAATTATGCACTTAAAGTTGCTTTATACACTCATGATAAGTAAATGTGCATTAAAATTATTAGCCTTTCATTAGTAAAATTTTGAATTTAAATTTTATGAATGCCTCCAGGAAATACTTTTGTCATTTTTCTCAAGTCCTTAATTTTGGAGTGGTTATGATAAATTAGCCACTGTTATTTGAGATTTTAAGTGGCTAAAGTTTGATATTTGGATGGGGCAGTGGTGGCACACACTTTTAATCCCAGCACTCAGGAGGCAGAGGCAGGTGGATCTCTGTGTGTTAGAGGCCAGCCTGGTCTACACATCGAGTTCCAGGAGGCTCCAAAGCTACACAGAAACCCTGTCTTGAAAAAAACAACAACAAAAAATTTTTATATTTGGAAAATACTATTTTCAAATTAATATAAATTGACTTCATAATAAAGGCATAAATATGTTTTAGAAAGAATATTATATCTGACATTATTCTTACTACATATTTCAGGTTTGAAAACGCAATGGCAGGAAACAGTCTAGTTCTGCCCATTGTTCTTTGGGGTCGCAAAGCACCTACCCATTGCATTTCATCAATACTGTTAACTGATGATGGGGGCACAATTGTAACTGGATGTCATGATGGACAAATATGTCTCTGGGATCTTTCAGAAGATCTGGAAGTGAGTATTACATCTTAAATATAAGCCAGTAATTACCTCGTTCACTGTTTGCCTACACTTACTTTTCAGTGTTCTGGTCATTATTCTGTTTTTCAGTTTGTGTCTTTATATTGATATTGAGTACTTAACATGATTACTAATTGAAGGTTAACTTTAAAAAATTATTTACTTACGTGTTTATGTGTGATTCTTTGTGTGTATGTACACATGTTGTTGGATGTTCACAGAGAGCAGAAGCTGGAGTTACAGGCATTTGGCTGTGAGCCAAACTCAGGTAACCTGAAAGAATGGTATGTGCTTTTAATCACGCACCGTCTCTCCAGCCCCCATGGTTAACGTTTTAGTGTGTTATTTATAGCAGCATATTTTTGGATTTCTAGGTTAATCCCCGAGCACTGTTATTTGGTCACACAGCATCAATCACTTGTTTGTCAAAAGCTTGTGCTTCTGGGGACAAACAGTACACTGTGAGTGCATCTGCAAATGGGTAAGTCGTAGTCTGTTTTGTTTTGTTGTTGTTTTGTTTAGTTTGGATTTTCAAGATAGGGTTTCTCTGTGTAGCCCTGGCTATTCTGGAACTCTCTGTAGAACAGGCTAGCCTTGAACTCAGAGATTGGCCTGCCTCTGCCTCCAAGTGTTGGAATTAAAGGCGTGTGCAACTAACTACTGCCCTGTAATATTTTTTTTTATTTTCATTTTTTTTAGTCAAGTTTCTCCTTTTCCTCCTAAATTTTCATATCTTAAAAAATGTAGATTTTGGCTGGGTGTGGTGGTGTACACCTTTAATCCAATCATGTAGGAGGCAGAGTCAGGTAGATCTCTGTGAGTTTGAGGCCAGCCTGCTGAACAGAGAAATCTGCAAGCTAGCCAGGGCTCCGCAGTGAGACCTGGCTCAATAAAAGGATGCAGTATTCATTTGTCACTTCAAAACTGTGTTCATAGGGGCAGGGGAGATGACTCAGAGTTAGATGGCACTTCCTACTCTTTCAGAGGACACAAATTTCGTTCTCAACCCATGTCAGGCAACTTATGACCCCCTTTAAGTTGAACTCCAGGGGAACCAATAGCCTCTTCGTGCTTCTGTAGGCACCCACATGCATATGGCATACCACACATAAACACATAGGTAAAATATAAAAATAAATCTTAAATTGTGTGCATAGATTACCATATCTTTTATGTTTTGTAATTTTGTTTTGTTTTGTTTTGTTTTGTTTTTCGAGACAGGGTTTCTCTGTGGCTTTGGAGGCTGTCCTGGAACTCACTTGGTAGGCCAGGCTGGTCTCGAACTCACAGAGATCCGCCTGCCTCTGCCTCCCGAGTGCTGGGATTAAAGGCGTGCGCCACCAACGCCCGGCTATGTTTTGTATTTTACAACTAGCACCCATTTAGGGACACTTTTCTTCCTGTTGCCGTATTTTCTTGCACTGTGTACAGCTGAAGGAGAATGTTTGAATTATAGGGTTTTTGTTAGTTTGTTTTTTGGAGACAGGATTTCTCTGTGTAGCCCTGGCTGTTCTGGAGCTCATGTTTTAGATCAGGCTGGTCTCATACTCAAAGAGACCAGCCTCTGCCTCCTGAGTGCTGGGACTAAAGCTGTGTACCACCACAAGCGGTATGAATTATAGTTTTCTTTATTTTTTTCAAAATCCGTTTTTTGTATATTATGTACATTTGTGTTTTCCCTGCATCTATGTCTGTATTGAGGGTATTGGATCCCCTGGAACAGGAGTCCTGTACAGACAGTTGTGAGCTGCTATGTGGATGCTGGGAATTGAACCCGGGTTCTCAGGAAGAGGAACCAGTGCTCTTAACTACTGAGCCATCTCTCCAGCCCTTGAATTATAGTTTTAAGGACATACATTTCACAACTGATTTTCTGTAATACTTCATTACTTTTCTTTGCTTTGGAGAAGCTCAGAATATATTGAAAATTGAAACATGGCCATTAGTTTGCATGACATTTTTATTGAATCAGCAGGCAGCTTTGGGGCTTTTAAAAAACTCAGGGGATGCCAGCTTGTCACCAGCAGGGAGGCGGATCACCACCAAGTCTTGGCCATTGTGATGCTGGTTGTTTGTGTGCTGTTGAAGCTAATTCTGTCCCATCTCAGAATGGGTCTTGTGCTGGAGAGACAGGCAGGCCATTGAGCAGTGTCTGTGGGGCCCAGACTGGGAAGAACTGTGCAAACATTTTTGGATTTTTTTTGAAACAAGTTAGAGAACTTATAGAAATTGATATAAAGTATCTTTTCCCCCTCTATAATTTTTGGGCTGGAATTTAACTTTATTTGGAATAGGAAGAGATAACATTAAGTAAAAATATAGTACTTTTTTTGTCAATTAAAAGATGATTTGCATTGGAACACTTGTTTTCAGGTGAATGTTGATTGAAAATTGTTTCAGCATGGCACTGTGGTATATGTTTGGCATATCTGTAATCCCAGCACTCTAGGAGGAGAAGCAGGAGGATTGCTGCAAGTTAGAGGCCAGCATGGCCTCTAATACATAGTAAATTCCAGGTCAGCCTGGGCTACATCAGCCTGGGCTACATAGCAAGACTCTGTCTCAAAAACCATCTACCAAACAACACAAATATTTTTATATCATTTGAGATATAACAAAATGACACCAAAATAAAAACTCCAGTAAATATCATTATATTTTATTAATATTTTCTGTTAAATAAACCTTATTTCTTTAAAAGAAAAGGCATATTGGTACTTCTAATTTTCAGTGTATTCATTAGTTTGAAAGGTAAGGATTTTTTGGTATTCTTGCAATAAAGCTACCACGAATAAGAGCTGCAGCGATGAGCTAACCTTGGGAACCCTGTTGACCTTAGGTGATTTATGTTCTGCAGTGCTGCATGTGCAGGGTACACTGACCACACGGGGCAGTAATCGATGGCAATTTTATCTCTTCAGTGCGTGGCCCCAAGGCGGCTTCTGCTTCATTATCGTCCTTACTTTGAGCTTCAGGATGAGGGAACAACTGTCAGTTAAAGAGGTCACTATCGCCGGGCGTTGGTGGCGCATGCCTTTAATCCCAGCACTCGGGAGGCAGAGGCAGGCGGATCTCTGTGAGTTCGAGACCAGCCTGGACTACCAAGCGAGTTCCAGGACAGCCTCCAAAGCCACAGAAAAACCCTGTCTTGAAAAACCAAAAAAACAAAAACCAAAAAAAAAAAAAAAAAAAAAAAAAAAAAAAGAGGTCACTATCAGGAACCTTTGTGAAGAAGTTGGAGAGCCTCATAGAAGCTCTACTGAGAACCATTCACAAGAGTCTAGCAACCAGTGAGGAACCAGGAATGTATTTCTACTATAAGAAGGAAGTGGAGTGTTGACAGGTTGTAAATGAGGGACAGGAATGGAAAATTTGATCAGGAGCAATAATGAATGTAAACTACTTTTCTTTCTGTAATATATTAGTTTCAGTGTCAGCTTAACTCTAAGCCACTGTGACAAAGCTACTTTTGTATATTAGATTCAGACTGAGCTATTATTTTATTTTATAGAGAGATGTGCCTCTGGGATGTGAATGATGGAAGATGTATTGAATTTACAAAGTTAGCCTGCACCCATACTGGCATACAGGTTTGTGTGTATTTCTTTGGCTGAGTCAACACAGTTTATCACAAGTGTATCATTAAAACATGGTTTAAAGCATTGAACCTGTGTTTTTAATGTGAAAAAAGGTGGGGAGAGGTAATACGAGAAATGTATAATGGTAAGTACTCCTCAGAGGATGGGAGAGATGGGAAGAGGTGTGATGTTGAGGAGACCCATGGAGAAGAGTGGGGTCAGCCAGTATCACTGCTGCCTCTCTGGTTCGGGCTCTCCTGGTTACTCAGGGGAGAGCTTGTGTAAATCAGCTTTCTAGTGGGAGTGCCTCAGACAGCCCACCTGGAAAGAGACAAGGTTTATTTTGGATCATTGTTTTACGAGTTTCTAGTTCATGATGTAGCTTGTTTTTAGGCCTGTGGCAAGTGCTGGTGACAGTAGTGGAGAGTGTGTAGTAGAACAGAACTACTTAGCTTGTGGCCAGAAGGCAGAAGAGGAGGAAGAGCCTGGCATCCTACAGTACTATTTAGGGATGGTGACTTAGAAGACACCCCGCTAGGGTCTGTTTCCTAAAGTCTTCCAGTAGCATTACCCTAGGATCAAGCCATTAGTTAGTACATGGACCCTTGGGGAACCCTTACAGCAGGTTTCTGTGAGTTCCAGGCTAGCCTGGTCTACATAGTGAATTCCATCCTAACGAGGGCAGAATAATGAGTGAGACCCTGTCTAAAAGAATCCCCCAAGTCCCGCTAAAACAGCAGCAATGAAATAATAACATATGTTGTCAGCAAAAAAAAAAAAAACTTTTCTATACTAGTACAGATCTGACAAACAATGGTAAATGTTTGTAGGAGGTGGTGATTGGGTGATTTTCTATTTCTTACTCTGGCAGCAAGAACCTATAAGCTTTTTTTTTCACCAGTATTTTTAGAGCTTATACTTTTTATTTGAAAAGCATATATTGGACTTGGGAGAAAGTAAAGTCAGTAAAATTCTTGCAGGGACCTGGACTTGGTCTCCTGAACCCATGTAAAAAAGTGAACATGGTGGTACATGCTTGCAGTTGCACTGTTGATGCGGAGCCAGGGGAATCCTTGAGACTCACTGGCCAGTCAGTCTCACCTTCTTTGAGTTCCAGGCCATTGAGAAGCCTAGTCTTTAAATAAATAAATAAAGATAAATAGATAGACAGACAGGCGGATAGATGATGGTGCCTGGAGACTGGCAATGAGGTTTTCCTCTGGCCTCCATGGGCATATGCACCCATATTCTTTTGCACCTACATACACACATGTAAACACAAATTACTTTCATTTTATATTATTTTAGTTTAAGAGCTATAAGCGTCAAACTCATCATGTATAATTATGTTGACTTTAGTACATCTTTGTACTAACTTTGCAGTTTATGGTTTAAAAACTTCTGACTTATATATTAGTGAAATTATTTCTTCTGAACATATTTTAAGTACGTTTTAAGAAAATCCAATTCTGAGCCGGGCGGTGGTGGCGCACGCCTTTAATCCCAGCACTCGGGAGGCAGAGGCAGGCGGATCTCTGTGAGTTCGAGGCCGGGCTGGACCGATAGCCTCCTAAACAATACAGAGAAACCCTGTCTCGTAAAAACCAAAAAAAAAAAAAAAATTCCAATTCTGTACAAGACCGTTTAGCAGTTATATAAATAGATGCTTTTTGTCTGATTCATGAGTATTATGACAGTTTACTCTGTGCTCCTCACTCACTTAGATCCAGAAAGTGGCTACTTATTACTATTATTATTATTATTATTATTATTATTATTAGTAGTAGTAGTAGTAGTAGTAGTAGTAGTAGTAATTTTTGAGACAGGGCCTGTCTACATAGTTTTGACTTTTCTGGAATTAACTATGTACACGCAGCTGGCCTCAAACTCCCAGTGATCTGACTGCCTTTGCCTCTCAAGTACTGGGATAAAAGGAGTATGTCAAGGACTATTTTTATGTGTACAGAAATGGCCCTTGGTGACATTTTTCCTTACTGCAATTACAGGAATTATTATTAAGTATTATGTGCAGCATTTAATTTTAATATGTTGTGAGAATTTCATATATGAATTTAATCCATATTCATCTTTCATCCTACTTCTCCACTCCTAAGTTCTCCTGTGTTCCACGCCCACCTCTCAAATTCTGGTTCTCTTACTCTATAAACCGAGTCCAGTTAGTGTTACCTGTGTATACATGGGTGTAGGACCGACTGCTTGGGCATTGGCAGCCTATCAGGGGCTTGTCACTGAAGAACACTAACTCACCCTCCCCCAGGAGCTCACTGTCAGTTGGAGGTGGAGCCTTGAGAACCATTTATCCACTGGTGCTGGAATGTTGGATGGAATGGCCTTATGCAGGTTTTGTGCAGGCAATGACAGCTGTTGAGAGTGCATAGATGCAGCATCCCTATCTGTTCAGGAAATATTAGAGATGACTCTCTCTCTCTCTGTCTCTCTCTCCCTCCCTCTCTTTTTGGTTTTTCAAGACAGGGTTTCTCTGTGGCTTTAGAGGCTGTCCTGGAACTAGCTCTTGTAGACTAGCCTGGTCTGGAACTCATAGAGGTACACCTGTCTCTGCCTCCTGAATTCTGGGATTAAAGGCATGCTCTACCACTGCTTGGCGAGGCATCTCTTTTTAATGCTCAAAAAAATTGAGTCTCCATTTAGGCACCCTCCTTCCCAATATCCAAGTGTCTTAAATGCTGAATTAGCATTCAGAAAATTGATTGGGAATATAGCATTAAATAAAGCGTGGAGGTAGTTAGCCAAGCAATTCTGATAATCTATCCCTGCTCTCAGGACAGTAATCTTTGGTAACATTCTCTGAGCAATCTCTCTACATGACACTCCCCCCACCCTTGCATATGCAAGTGACAAGTGGTCCAGGAACCTTCCTTTGAGAAGTGGTGGTGTCATTTTGTTGTTCATTTGCTTTTGATCAACCTGAGAGCTAGAGACACTCCCTTGTGATGTCTACATGTTACTAGCCTTCCGGCCTTACCTTTAGAGGTTAAGGTGTCCTTTGATAATGTTTATGTATTAAAAACTTTTACTCTTTCTTATACAGGTATTGGATAATCAAGTAGAAACCCCACTGCCCACCATGTTAATGTGTGAGAGTGGGATGGAATGGGGGTGAGGACGGGCTGGATCCTGGTTTTCATAGTTGCTGTATTGCCTTCTGTGCCTTCCTTCGCTTATACTCAGCCGATCTATGTAGTTAGTAGTCTAGGGAGGTCGTCACCGTTAACAAATCCTCCGTGAGAACTGTTCCAGCAGAATCAGTGTTTGTGATGCTGAAGGAAGTCAGGCCCTCAGTACCTTCTTGACCTTGCTTTGGTGGTGGTTCTTCCTCTGCTCTTCAGTGAGAATTTAACTCTGATTATCATGTGTGGACACCAATCACCTCCATTTCCTATTCACTGCATTACTAAATTTCCTTGTTGCTGGGAGCGAGGAGGGGGGACGGGGACGGGGGGGACGGGGACGGGGGGGACGGGGGATCTGCCAAGAAGCAATTTAGGGAGGAAGGATTTGTTTCAGTTACAGCTCATGTGGATACAATCTGTCCTGTTCAGAAGGCATGGCTGCCGAGATAGAGGTGGCTGCACGTGGCTTCTCCACGTGGGCTTCTACAGCTAGGAAGCAGAGAGAGATGAACGCCCATGCTCAGTTTGGTTCTCAGCCCATGTGCTGGTTCCACCCACATTAAGGTGGGTCTTCCTAGCAGATTAACCCAGTATAGAAACTCCCTCCCAAATTCAACAGTATGTTGAATGCCTAGATGGTTTGTGCTGGCTACTTTTATGTCAACTTGGTACAAGCTAGTTATCTGAAAGGGGGAAACCTCAGCTGAGAAAATGCCCCTTAAGCCATAAGGTCCAGTGGTAGGACATATTTTTAATTAGTGACTGATGGGGAAGGGCCCAGCCCCTTTTGGGTGAGACTATCCCTGGGCGGGGGCCCTGGGTTCTATAAAAAAGCATATGGAACAAGCCAGGGGAAGCAAGCCAGTAAGCCACATGCCCCTCCCCACTGTGGCCTCTGGGTCAGCTCCTGCCTCCAGCTTCCTGCCCTGCTTGAGTTCCTACCCTCACTGCTTTTATATGGAAGTGTGAGTGAAATAAAGCTTTTCCTCCCAAATTGCTTTTGGTCATGGTGTTTCATCACAGCAATAGTAACCCTAAGCAATAGTAACCCTAAGTAAGACGTGATTCAGGGTTCTGTGAAATGGGTGGTGTTAGTCCTCACATCTGCCTGTTCCTATTATTTAGAATTCATATTAATTTCATGACTCACACAAGCTTCCTTTTAAAATTTGATTTGTTAAGCTAATTTTATTGGGGTGTTTCATTAATTCAGAAGTCCTGACTTAAGGCTTATGTGGTAATGCGTGACCTTACTTCTGGTACTCTGGTGGTAGAGGGGCTCTGTGAGTTTGATGCCATGTCATGTCATTATGGTGTATGTCGAGAGTTCTAGGCCAGCCAGAACTACATTGTGAGTGAGACCTTGTACCAAAAACAAAACAGACAGACAAACAAAACCCTCAACCAACCAAACACAAAACCAAAAACGAGCCACCCATCTCCCCATGAAAATTATAAAAGTTTGCTTTGAAAGGTAGAGATAAAGATAAAAAGATGATTTTTTTTGCCTTGAGTATGTGACATGAGGAAATGAATATTTTTCTTTAAATTTTGGAGAAGATTAATATAATCTGACATGGATGTGCCCATATGAAATTCCTGGAGTAATTTGGTGCTTAGAAGGATATCATAATATATTTAATGAATGCACATTAGTCAAGTAGCCTAACTGAAGCAGTACATTAAAATATATTTTTTTAAAATTTGGATTTAGTTCTACCAATTGTCTGTTGGAAATCAGCAAGAGGGAAGACTTTTATGTCATGGACATTACCCTGAAATCCTCGTTGTGGATGCTACCAGCCTTGAGGTGTTGTATTCTTTGGTATCAAAGATATCACCAGATTGGGTTAGCTCCATGAGTATCATCCGCTCTCACCGGACACAAGGTCAGTATATTATGCCCTTTGCCAAGTTGAATATCTTCTTATTCTTTAATTCACTTGAAGTTCTATAAATTGTCAAAGTTAACAAATTTGCTTATATTCTTTTTTAGTTAAAGATTTATTTATTATGTATACATTGCTCTGCCTGCATGCATGCCTGTAGGCCGCTTATATTCTTGTATGTAAGAGATATTTATTCCAATAATTTGTGATCCTTCACAAAGTAGTTTTGGCTGTATTAGTATTTAAACTCACAGTGTTAGATTATCTTTACTTTGTGGTGGATCACAAGGCTTTAGGAAGCTTTAGCTTATGTGGATAGTTTTCTCAAGTGCAGAGGCAGAGTTAGAATGGTTAGGGGTGGGGTGGTGATAAGACCTGTAGCTTCATGTGTGTTTTTCTGGATTCTGGTTTTATCTTCTGCCAAGAGGTACCATTTCTCAGGGAGAGAGTGGAAAGTGAAGAGATAAAATTTAATGAATTTCTGTAACTGTATGGTTATACTTGGTAAGTATTACTGTTTTTCCTCATTTCTTTTGTAGCCTTTCATTGAAACCATGAGGAAAAGAAAAATTTTTTTTCCAGAAAAGAACAGTAATGTCAACGTTGAATTTATATTGTTCTTAGCACAGGGAGTTACGTTTTCTACTTGTTGTTTAAGTTCATGAGAGCAGGCTGTTTAATGATAGAAAGGAGCATGCTATGTTTAACTTGGGTTTCTTGTCCCTTCCTGGTTTAGAGGACACTGTGGTAGCGCTTTCTGTGACAGGCATCCTGAAGGTGTGGATTGTCACCTCTGAAACTGGTGGGATGCAGGTGAGATGGACAGTGATTTCTCTTTCTTATTTTTATAATTTAAACCTTTAGTGGTCACATGTTCCTCACTTTGTTCTTAAAGAAAAAAAATGTTTCTATTGAAATGATAGATATATCATCCAGAATAGGAAGAAGAGAAACATAAGAGTTATTTTCCTCTGGTTTTTGTTTAGATTAAAAGTTAGAAAGTAGCTTTCTTGAATGAAAGAAACAAACAAGCCACACATTTTTGTTACTTTTGCATCCTGTGACAAAATAGTGACAGAATACCTGATGGAAGCCATTTAAGGGAAGAAGGACTTACTTTAGTTCATGATTTCAGAAACTTTAGTAGAGTTCCTGGCTTGGCTGACTCTGGTGGCATATCATTGCAGGAGTGTGTAGAGGGCGAGGAGCCTCTCTCTTCACCTGATGGCAGCCAGGTGACACAGTAAGGAAGGGACTTAGTGTATTTCCAAAGACATGCCTGCAGTGAGCACCTAAAGTGTCCAAAGCCTTTCAGTATGTCAGCACGGGGTGGGCGAGTAGGGTTTAACACTTGGTCCTGTGGAGACATTTCATGTTCAAATACCAGCATCATCAAAAAAGCATGTAAAGGCATCTCTTAGTCTCATTTCATAGTACTATGGTCTAGAATAATTATTTATGACAAGAAAGCTCGATCAACTTTCTGACAACACTGGACCCTTCACTTCAGCTAGAGGAACATTAAGTATTGAAGTTGGAAAAAACTGGAGGAAGAACCAGCCAGTTTTGTTTTTCCTTTTTAACTCAAGTATATACAACCATAGGATTACTACAAAATTCCATTATCTGCCAGTTTCCAGTGAAGATGTTCTGAATGTTAGGGCTTAAATATTGGGCATCTTTGTAGCAAAGACATTTTGCCCAGCTGTTTTTTTTTTGTTTGTTTGTTTGTTTTCCTGAGACAGATTTTCTCTGTGTAGCTCTGATTGCATTGGAACTCACAATGTAGAGCAGGCTGGCCTCAAACTCACAGAGCTCCATCTGCCTCTGCCTCCCCAGTGTTGGGATTAAAAGCGTGCACCACTACCCAGCCTTGGCCAGCTGTTTTTTTTTTTTTTTTTTTGTTTTTGTTTTGTTTTGTTTTGTTTTGTTTTGGTTTTTACGAGACAGGGTTTCTCTGTATTGTTTTGGAGGCTGTTGGACTAGCTAGGCCTCGAACTCACAGAGATCTGCCTGCCTCTGTGGGATTAAAGGCGTGTGCCACCACCGCCCGGCGCCCAGCTATTTTTAAGAGTATATTTTTTATAGCTGTTACTGCCTTGGCTTTCCAGGGATCTAAAACAATGAACGTATCACATGGTGCTTTTCTTTCCTGGTGGCATCTTTTATCATTTTGTAATGACTTTAATTAATACATGTTATTCTTAAGATTTTATGAATCTCTCCCTCTCCCTCTCCCTCTCCCTCTCCCTCTCCCTCTCCCTCTCCCTCTCCCTCTCCCTCTCCCTCTCCCTCTCCCTCTCCCTCTCCCTCTCCCTCTCCCTCTCCCTCTCCCTCTCCCTCTCCCTCTCCCTCTCCCTCTCCCTCTCCCTCTCCCTCTCCCTCTCCCTCTCCCTCTCCCTCTCCCTCTCCCTCTCCCTCTCCCTCTCCCTCTCCCTCTCCCTCTCTCTCTCTCTCTCTCTCTCTCTCTCTCTCTCTTTCAGGATACTGAGCCAATATTTGAGGAGGAATCAAAACCAATTTATTGTCAGAATTGCCAAAGCATCTCTTTTTGCGCATTCACACAGAGGTCACTTTTGGTTGTATGCGCCAAATACTGGAGGGTAAGCTGAATACATAAATACAATGTTGCCTTTTTATTCTTCATGATGAAGTCTAGTTTACCAGATTTTCCAAGATAACCCCAAGGATGTACTTGGTACAAGACTGTCAGTCATTTGGGACTCCTGTTTGGCTCTGATGTTTCTTGAGGACTTGGGACTTAATTCCATGTAGCTGGCTTTTGTTGTCGTTCTACTCTGTGTAATGAATGATTTAATGACTATATTTTGTTGATCTTAATTTCTACTTTTTATTATTTCAGTTATTGTGTACAATGTGAGTGATGGTAATGAGGTCTCTGTAGGCTGGACATTTCTCTTTGTAGTGTGTTACTAAACCTGAATAATGCATTTATTTCTACCTTTCACTGCGCTTCTAGGAACACAAAATAAGCTCTAGAAACTGTCAGAAAATGTAGCCCGTACTGAAGGGAGGAGGGTGTTAGGTGGGCACATCCGGGAAGCCGCCTACTGGGGTAGGAATAGTTGCTTTTCCTAACTTAAAACAATATTTATTTTTGTATATGGATGCTTTGGCTGCATGTACATCTGTGTACCTACCATGTGTGTGCCTGGTGCTCATGGAGGCCAGAAGAAGGTATTGGATCACTTGGAAGTGGAGTTAACAGATGGTTTTGAACTATCATTTGGGTGCTGGGAATTGGACCAGGATCCTCTGAAAGAACATCCAGTGTTTTTTAAAAAACATTTTATTTATTCTTTGTGTCTTTTACATCATGCCTCCCAATCCCATCTGTCTCCCCCTCCCCACCAATAAAATTTAAGTGGCAAAAGAAAAGGAAGAAGGAGAAAATCTGGTGATGGAAGCTGTTGTGTGGTACAGTGAGTTGCACAGTAAACCTCTATCCATACATTTTTACTACAGGCATTCATCACAAAGAATCACTGGATCATTTATCTGCTTTGAGACCCCTGATCTCTGCTACACCATTAACATTGGGCCCCCACTATGACTCTTGCTGGTTATTCTGTTGTTGCCCTGTGTCTGGAGATTCTGCAGCCATGATGGGTCCACAGGACTGATCTCCCACCCTTACCCCCACCCCCATGCTCCAGCAGATCACAAATGGGGTAGATGTTGGGGTGAACCAACATATAACCCTGGTTTGGGGCCTGGGTAGTTGCTTGGTTGGTCAGCCCACCAGCTCTCCCCTTCATTACTAGGGATTGCTCTCCAGCAAAGCTCTGGCAGTGATGAGCAAGGGGCGGGGGTAGTTCTCTGGCTTTCACAACCTCAGGGTCAGTTTTCCCACACCTACCCCTTCAGGGTCAGCTCTACTGTGCTGCCTAGGTCAGGTGTAGGGGGCTGCAGGTGGTGGGGGGCAGGACCTGAACCTCAGGGATAGCTCACCCACCTGCCTGAGGTGTTGATGAGTCAGGGTGGGGGCATCTCTTCCTTGCCCATGCTACCTCAAGACATGCTCACAACTTTGGGGCTGGGCCTCCAGTGTTTTTAACGGCTGAGCCAGTTAAAAAGATAATTAAGTCATCCAGAAAGTTTTGTAATTTGAAATATTCTGATTATTGGACCTCAGCCTTGCAGTGTTGCTGAGGATGAACATCAAACTTCTGACCCTCTTGCCTGCACCTGAGTACTGGGATAGTCTTTGAAGATGTGGTTTACTTAGTGTGGGGGATGGAATGCAGGGGTCTCATGCATGCTAGGCAAGCACTCCACTGAGTTATATTCCTAGCCGAAGGTCATTTTCTCTGAGTAAAATAAAAGACTGTGCCACTGATTGAATTTCACTCCCCTTGAGCAAACTTTAGAATGTGCTTTTATCAAATATTGGAAATATTGGAAGTGTTAGAAAGAACTGGTCTGGGGCTGGAGAGATGGCTCAGAGGTTAAGAGCACCAACTGCTCTTCCAGAGGTCCTGAGTTCAATTCCCAGCAACCACATGGTGGCTCACAACCATCTGTAATGAGATCTGGTGCCCTCTTCTGGCCTGCAGGGATACATGCAGACAGAATGTTGTATTCATAATAAATAAATAAATCTTTAAAAAAAAAAAAGAACTGGTCTGCTAGGAAATATAAGCTCAGGGTTTTTATACCTTCCAGTTGTATCACATACTGATACATAACTTTTTTTTTTTTTTTTTTTTGAGGCTGAGTCTCAGTAAGCAGCCCTGGCTGGCCTGCAACTCCTATGCATACCAGACTGGCCTCAAACTCACAGGGATCCACTTGCCTTTCCTAAGATTCAAGGTGTGCACCACCATACCCAGCTTCTGATGCATGACTTTGAATAAATATCACTAGTGTCAACTGTATCACTTTCCTGTCCTTCAGTGGGTCTACGGGTCACATGAGATAATTTTAAAGGTACCTGTAAACTTGATGTTGCCTTGCATAAGTAAGCCTATGCAAGGTTTTGCTGTTCCTGGTGAAATTATAGCAACTTGGCCTTCTCCTACAGAACTATTGAATATTAAAATGAAGTCTGTTAACGTCCTATTCATAATATTTTAAAACACTGATGAAACAGAGCCAAGCAAGTTAATTCTCCTGGTTAGAAAATATTATAACATCAGAGTATATGGTCAGAAATGTTAGCAGACATAGAACTAAATCATGATGAGTATTCTAGAGGGTTGAGTACCTAGTGTTTGCCTTTATCCATTGTGTGCTTCTTCCCTCAGCATGGAAAAGATGAGGATTTCTGTTCCTATGTTGGGAACATACCTGCTGCACTTGTACTAGTCCACTTTCAGCAAGAGGTCACCCATAGCTGCGACCTGTGGAAGATGGCTGCCTTAGATCTCACTGACAAAATGACCTCCTCTACTGAGTCACATTGTAAAAGCCTGAGTTTGTTAAATATATTTTTAGAAGTTTCTTCCAGATGAAATGTTATTTTATCAAACTATTGAAAGAAGCTGTAGTAAACTGAAAATGTGAATTTCGTTTTCTCCTAGGTATTTGATGCTGGAGACTACTCCCTGTTGTGTTCGGGTCCTAGTGAAAACGGACAGACATGGACTGGAGGGGACTTTGTGTCTGCAGACAAAGTCATCATTTGGACTGAAAATGGGCAGAGTTACATTTACCAACTCCCTGCCAGGTATGAAATAGATAGGCTTAGTCAAATGTAAAGAATTCGGAATCTGAGCCTTAACTCTACAGTATAGATTTTTATATATTGTAAATAATTCAGAATGTCTTAAGGTCCTCCCTATATAATCCACATTTAACTTTTAGGCACAAAAACAGCTACATTTTTTACATTTATTTGCACGAATGCGTGCACAGGTGTGAATGCACATACCACTGTGCATGTATGCAGGTCAACTCATGGGCCTCAGTTCTCTCCTTCCATCTTGTAGGTTCCAAGTATTAAACTCAGGTTGTCAGGCTTGCCAGCAAGCTCTTACCTGTGAGACCTCTCAAAGAATTTTTAAGTTTTTTAATCCCTACTTATATTAATTTAAACTAAAAAAAAATCCTAGTTTTGTTCATTATAGTAAACCCTTGGAATACAATATTTCATATAATTTATTATATATGAAATGATATTTCATGATATATATGGAGAGACAGACAGATAGACAGACAGACAGACAGGGTCTCAGTATGAGTTCTGGCTGTTCTAGAACTCACTATGTAGACCAGGCTGGCCTTAAACACACGTCTATCTACCTGTGTCTGCCTCCAAGGGTTGGGACTAAAGATGTGCAGCACCATGCTTGGCCCTCATATCAGAATTTTAAGGGGATACTTACTTTCCTATTTCAGTTGCCTTCCAGCTAGTGATTCATTCCGCAGTGACGTGGGGAAAGCAGTTGAAAATTTAATTCCTCCTGTGCAACATAGCCTCTTGGATCAAAAAGATAAAGAGGTAAAGTTCTTTAGGTATCATTTATAATTGATGGATACATTGATGGTGTCTAGACTTTGGAAAGATTCAATAACATCTAGCAGGGTGTTAGATTTTGCAAAAAAAATTTGATATGATCAGTTATAAGCATATTTCAAAATTTTCAGATTTTAACAATATATAATATAACTATTAAATAGGACCTGCTTTTATCTAAGAATACAAGTGATCTTATCTTGATTATGTACTGGATACATAAATATGATTCTTTTATTAATATGGCTTATAAAATCGTATTTTTTGATTTTTAAAATGAAATTCATATTGACAGTTAAAGCACAGTGAAGACAGTCTCTGAAGGACAAGGGCGATTATGTGCTAATGCTGACTAATGCTCTTGGTTACTTAGGTCACACATTGCACTCTCTCCAAAATCAATGGTGATTCATATAAGTGGGTATTAAAAATGAAAATTGAAAATTTTTCGGTATTAAAATAGTAACTTACTATGTTTTCAAAAAGCCTTTGTATTGTCTGTTTATATTTGAATGCAGGACCTGGAGCGATCTCTCAGTGTTTAAGAGCATTGGCTGCTCTTCCAAAGGATTTAGGTTCAATTCCCAGCTTCCACATGGTGGCTCCTAACTGAAATAACTTTAGTTCTAGGGGAACCAATACCCTTTTCTGGTCTCTATGGCAGCAGACAAAAGACTCATATACATAAAAAACTGAAATGCAGTAACACTTATATTGTTTTTTCTACGCTGATCTCTGGGAGTAGTAAGAAAGAAGCTTTGTTTGGGGAGAAAGGTTTTCTATACTTTGTTCTGGTTTTGGGTTCCCGTTTTATCATTCTGAACCTTATGTCCCACCCATCAGTGGTGAGTGTAGGGATGATGAGCTCGTCACTCTGAACCTTATGTACCACCTTCCAATCGAGAGTGTAGGAATGAATGTAGGAATGAGGAGCTCATCTTCTGAACCTCATGTTCCACCATCAATGGGGAATGTAGGGATGATGAGTTCATCATTCTGAATCTCATATCCCTCCCATCAATGGAGAGTGTAGGGATGATGAGCTCATCATTCTGAACCTCAAGTCCCACCCATCAATGGAGAACGGAGGATAAGAAGAAGGGAATGGAATTCTTTCTATGAATATTTTGAACATAGAGTTTGTACATCGAGGTGTATTTCAAAATTCTGTATAAATTATTTGCTTTCTACTTTCTTGAACTCCTCCTTGCTACTGTCCAGCTCAGTTTGTCACTTCCGGCTAAACTGATAGTGGTGTGTTTGAAAAAAACCTGCATTAATAAAACAAAATATAACATACCATGTTAGTTAGATACCTTATTGCTGTGACAAGATACTTAACAAAAGCAGTGTAAGGACATAAGGGTTTGCTTTACTCATAATTTGAGGACGCAGTCCATTATGATGGGGACATCTTAGAGACAGGAGCGTAAAGCAGCTCGGTACATTGCTTCCATATCCAGAAATGCTGGTAGTCAGAATCCCCTCTGCTTTATGCACTCCTGACCTAGCCCATGGAATGGTGCTGGTGCTTCCAGAATGGGTCTTCTCACTTGTGCTAACCAAATCTAGAAGATCCTTTGCACATGTGTTCAGAGCTCCCATCTTTCCTGAGTCTAGATACTGCCAAGTTGATAACCATTAACCATCATATAATTTTTCTTTAACTGCCACCTCTCTAGTATATGCTAGTGTATTTTAAATTGAAATGTATGAATGATATGGTGAGAGACACTGATACATTGAAATATGATATCGGTGATTATAGCTGCTATAGCAACTCCCTTTGTAATTTTAATTAAAGTCATCAAACACAATTTGCCGAGTCAATTTAGTGTTGCTTATGAGTCAGTGTTCTTTATCATTGTTACATATATATGCATATATAAATACAATCTGCAGAGTCTGTTTGTTGTTGCTTATGTATAGAACTCTTAATTTTTGGTCTTTTATGTAGAGACTTCTTTTTGGTTAAGAATGACCTAATTTCTATACTAATTATTTGACAATAAGTAAGTAAATTACCCTGTGATTGGTAACCAGTTTTTATGAAGTTGTATAGACGACTATAAAGATTAGTTCAGAGAAGAGCTTTAAATATAGTTTTTCATTCCTTTAGTGTTTATGTTGTACTGCAGTTGACATGAATATTAACACTATTAAGCTACATGCAAATATATTGAATAATCATGTTATAAGCACTTTTAGAACTGGGATATAAATCAAAGCATCAAACACTTTTATCTGAACACATATTAATCTATAAAACATTTAATTCCAAATACAGCTAAAGACTATTTATTTATTTATTTTTTGGCAGTTGGTAATTTGTCCTCCTGTTACTCGGTTCTTCTATGGATGCAAGGAATATTTGCATAAGCTATTAATTCAGGGCGATTCTTCTGGAAGGTTAAATATTTGGAACATATCAGACATAGCTGATAGACAGGAAGGCGATCAAGGTAATATTAAATCTTGTGCATTAAATTCATAATTCCTTTATAAAATATTTTGAATCTTAACAAAATTAAAAATATTTACGTATCATTTTCTTCTAAGAATTATATTTGATGAAAGTAACTTGGTACATTACTGAATCAGTTCACATTATTTACTTAATGGTATTATTTTTTTAACATAAATGTATTTGTTTTATATGACACCAAACCTCTACAGGGCTAAAAATGACAACTTGTATTAGTTTACAAGAGGCTTTTGACAAACTGAAGCCTTGTCCTGCTGGGATCATAGATCAGCTAAGTGTGATTCCCAACAGCAATGAACCTCTTAAAGTGACTGCGAGTGTCTACATACCAGCCCACGGACGACTTGTTTGTGGTCGGGAAGATGGAAGCATAATTATTGTACCTGCCACTCAAACAGCTATAGTTCAGCTATTGCAAGGAGAACACATGCTCAGAAGAGGTATGCTGAAGATCTACCTCTGTCCACTGTGTTTTGAGGAACCATGATGTTGAGAATATCTCTATGTTGTACTTTAAGAAATAAAACTGAGCTGGGTTGTGGTGGCGCACACCTTTAATCCCTGCACTCGGGAGGCAGAGGCAGGCGGATCTCTGTGAGTTCGAGGCTAGGCTGGACTGACAGCCTCCAAAATAATACAGAGAAACCCTGTCTCATAAAACCAAAAAAAAAAAAAAAAAAAAAAAAAGAAATAAAACCACTGGTATAGTTATAGTCTGGTTAGTAGTTTAATGTACATTTGATAAAACATTAAATATAACATGGGAAATTAACTACTATAGTATGTTATGTAGCCCAATATAGCAACATTTTCATTTCTATTTTATAAATATGGAAATTGTATTGAAAGACTTTATATTGTTTCTTTTTGTACTAATTGTTTGTAAAATATCACGACAATTTGACATGTATAGCACATTTATTTGCACATAGACTAGCTTTGCTTTAAGGGTCTTTCGAACTTTACATGCCAGTTCTAGAAGTAAAGTTACAGCTCTTCGGATATTTATGTTTGCTGGTAGACGTGTTGTGAAGACTGTAATCTTCCAATTTTGAATCCCCATACTCCTTCACAGGTTGGCCCCCTCACAGAACTCTCCGTGGCCATCGGAACAAAGTCACGTGTTTGCTGTACCCTCATCAGGTCTCAGCTCGCTATGACCAAAGATACTTGATATCTGGAGGTGTGGATTTTTCCGTCATAATTTGGGACATATTTTCTGGAGAAATGAAACATATCTTCTGTGTTCATGGTGGTGAGATCACACAACTTCTGGTCCCACCTGAAAACTGTAGTGTAAGTTGCTTTATCTCTGATGACTTCTCTGTGGTAAAGGGGGCTTCGTTGCTGTCAGGCATGTAAATGGAATCCGCAGTGACTTAAAGGAAGTATCACAGGAGTCAGCAAAACTTTCTTACATGACTTGTCTCTAGTAGCAGTTTGGAGCATGCTTATTGAATGAACTGGCAGATTTTGTTTCAGAGCAATTAAAAACCCCCCACAGATTTCTGATACCATTGATTTTGAGTCCATCTAATCAAAATGACAGTGAGCATGCACTTTGGTAGATGCAGTGTGCTTAGAAACATGTCGATGTAATTTATTTAACCTGTGATTATGAGCAGGGAAAAGGAAACATTGGTAAGTCAACTAAACAAAGTATTCCTTGTTTTCAAGCTTGGATCGGAATGAAGAAGTCAGTCTAACAGAACAAGGGCTGAAGGCACTGTCTTTCCTCACTCAGGAGACAATTAAGATGTGCTTCTTTTCCTATTATCTGTTTTTAAAAAGGCATTCTTTCTTTCCTTTATTTTGAGCTGTATGTTTTGATATCTTTTTCCAAAAAGCTGAACTTCGGTTTTTAGGATTGTGCAGCAAGTGTTTTCGCCAACTGAGCATCTCTCCAGCTCTTTCGAATGCTCTCTTTTAACACTACAGAGCCATAAGTTTCAGATCCATTTTATTTTGACACCTGAGAAATCTAATACAGAATGAATAACAATAGAATGTTTTCCAGATTTGAACAGTTGTCCAAGGTTAACGTGGGTGAATTATTGACATGTAAAATCTAGGCGAAGGGAACCACAAGGGTGCTCTAGATGTCTGTGGAATCTGATGGAGAGGGGCAGGGCGAGGGAAGGGAGCTGTTACTAACACCCCCAGTGGCACAGCTGAAGATGACTTTTCGCCCTCTCTCGTTGGGACTGTGGCTCACACAAGAATGCTCTGATACCTTCCCTCCACCAGCTTGCTTTGCCTCCTCTGCTATTCGATACTTCTTTTTGCTATAAATGCCAGCATCCATACTTATCAAGGCCTGAAACTTTTTGTTCTCACATAGGTTATCAATAGAGAAAGGAACTAGAGTTTGGAAAAATCCTAAAAGAACAAAAGAATTCTAAAATATCAGGAGCGCTTTATAAAACATTTCCATTAAGAAAATAGATCAGCAGCATAGGTAGCAGTGTAAGCTAAGTCTTACAACATGAGTAACCTGGTAGAATGTCTCCTCTTTGAGGAGTAGTAGAAGTCTTTGCACACACTTTCTATGTTTCCCCAGTTGATTTTCAGTAGAAGGAGGCAGCTGAATTTAGAATGTTTCTGTACATGGTAAGGATGCACTTTGATCTATTATGTATTTGGGTCATCCAGATACATGCACAGGTAGTACATGAAAAAATTGAAATTAAAGGGTAAGTACCAAGTTTAAATTCTGGTTTGCTTTTTGAAGTAAAGGGAGAAAGTATGGAATGGAACAGAGGACGTGGCTTTTTAAAGTGTAGATTTTATTTGTTTTTGGTAAATATGAACCTAATATTTATTTCTCACTTAACATTGACAATGAAATTGTCAGAGCTGCTGTTTTGTTAGTGGATCTATTTGCAGCAGAATATTTGGAAAACTAATAAATAATTATAATAATTACTCCCGCTGCTATACTTCTGCATGTGAACAGAAATTCTTTATTTAATGTTAGCTAAAACAACTCTAAAAAACATATTATGTTATAGAATTTACGTTGCCACCTATCTCTAAAATGATCCAGAAGGGGGCAGCATGGATTTGTGAAAACAATATTAAAGGCATCTAGTGTGATCATTAGTGTTTATGCTTTCATTTTCCAATGTGGATTTCTATTTTCTAGGTGCAGGTCTGACATTATGAATAGCTTATATGACTAAGTATATATTAGTTTGGCAGATGTTCACAGCCAGGAAGAGCAGTGAACAAATTAGTTTTTTGGAATTTTATGTGAGTGCTGTATTTGTATCATATCTACCCCTCATTTCCCCTGCAACTCTTCCTACATCCCCCTATTCCTTTTCAAATTCATGACCTCCTCTTTTTAAATTGTTTTACACACACACACACACACACACACACACACACACACACACACACACACACACACACACACACACCCTACCTTACAGAATCCAGTTAGTGTTGGATGTACATATGTTTAAGGCTGAGCACTTGGGAATATATAACCTATCAGGAGGCTTGTTCCTGGAAAAATTGATTCTTTCTCTCTCAGCAGCCATTAATTGCCTGTAGGGTTTCCATTTATGGGTAAGACCTTGTGAAATTTACTCTGTCGATATTGGCATGTCAACTTATGTAGTCATTATGTAGGTGGCAATTGTTTTGTGAAGCTCTCTTGGATGTAGTTTCTCCATCCTATCTAGAAGACACTATTTACAACAGGCATCCTGGTTCTCTGGCTTTATAATATTCTTCCTCCTCTTCTGCAATCTTCCCCGAGTCTTAGGTTTCCTTTTTAATATACTTTTTTTTTATTCCAAAGAAAGGACTGAAAGCTTTTTTCCTGGGTAGCATTTTTCTCACATTTTGGAATCTGGAATTTTGTTGTTAATCGAATTTGAATGTTATGCTTCAAAGCAATGCTTATAAACCAAATTTGGGGTCTGAAGCAAGCAAAACAAACATTTTAATATAAATTAAGCCAAAGCAGGAAGCAGAACGGTTCCAGTTTATTACAGTGAAGGTTTCAGGGCTGTAGAGATGGCTGGGTGATGAAGAGCATGTTTTGCTCGTTCAGAGGCTCCAGTTTTAGTTCCCAGGATCCACAGTTCACAACCATCTGTAATTTCAGCTCCAGGGGTTCTGATGTCTTCCTTTGGTTTCCTTGCTCAAACTCCACATGCCTCTGGTGTATATACACACATGCATGCAAGCAAAACACTCATATGCATAAATAGCTTAAAAATGTAATTATTTGTAATGTTCTCCTTTTCTCTTTTTTTCCAATATATTTTTTTCATTTAAATTAGAAACATGCTTGCTTCACATGTCAATCCCAGCTTTGTCTTCCACCCTTTTTTTCTCTTTATACTTAATTCATTATGTGTTGAGACTGTTTTCAGACTATCAGCTAGGCAGGGTTTCTTACTGAACCTGAAACTCACCATTCTGGTTTGACTGAGTGGCTAGTGAGTCACCTGTAATCTGACTGTCTCTGGGATTACAGGCATGAGTTGCTGTCCGGGATTTTATATTGACTCAGTGGGTCTGAATGTAGGTCATCATTCTTGCACAGCAAGCATTTCATTGAGCCATCTACCTAGCTCAAGTAAAATTAATTTTAAAAAAGATTTAAATTTATGTGTAAATATTTTGCCTGCACATATTGTCTGTGCAATATGTGCTTGCCGGCTTCCCTCAGAGGTCAGACAAAGGTGTTGGGTTCCCTGGAACTGGAGTTACAGATGGTTGTGAACTGCCATGTGGGTGCTGGGAATTGAACCCAGGTTCTCTGGAAGAGCAACCAGTGCTCATAGACACTGAGCCATCTTTATAGCTCCCAGGTAAAATACTTAAAATTTATCTTCTTTTGATGTTGTTAATGTTGGATTTCCTCTTAAGGTTATTAGTTTGAGTTAACTAAAATTTTAACTTTATATGGTCTTTATTATTATGTTTTCTTCTGGTTTATATCTTTGAGTTTTTCTTTTTTCTTTCTTTTTTTTTTCAAGGAATTTTGCTATATAACCCTGGGTGTCCTGGGCTCTGTAGACCAGGCTGGTCTTGAACTCAGAGATCCACTTGCCTCTGCCTCCAAAGTACTGGGGTTAAAGACGTGTGCCACCCTGGTCCAGCTACCTTTCAGTTCTTTAACCTATAGATATTTTTAGTTGTTTGTAATTTAGTTTATATGGGTTTTTTTGGGTGTAGTTTCACATTTTTGAACATTGGAATCCCCTCCTTGCTAAAATGTTCAATAAAGCTTGAGTAAGGCAGTGGTTGAATTAAAAACAAATATGAAACTTTTTTTATAACTGAGATGAGAAAAGAATAAAAATTCTCATTCCTAATATAACAGAATCACTATATTATTTTTAAATGACTCTTTCTGTAGTATTGTATGAATCTTGTATGGAATATTCATATTAATTTGTTGTTTTTGAATAAAGATGGAGAGTCTACCTTATATCTTATATCTTTATTTTAAATATATATTTATATGTTTACACTATATATTTATCCACCACACACACAAACACACATACATATATGTAGAAGAAAGTAGGATGTTAAAATTATCCTTGGAAGTAATGTTATTCATGTAGTAGATTAGTCAGTATTTTGGTTGGAAACTGCTTCTTTTTAATAAAAGTTTCATTTCTAATATTGGAAAAATTCTGTTTTGAGGTAGTTTTGTGCACGTATGGAAATAAAATTAATATTTAATTTCATAGACTCCCCTTTTAGGTGGAATATTTAGAATGTTAAATGGCATCTTAACGGCACATTTATGTTCCTGAGAGAGAGTTCTGGGAAGCAGAAGAAGTAATGAGGAAGAGACGAGTGGATTGATTCATGAACAAAAGAAGCTTGTTACTTATAGCTCTCTCCTCTTTAAAAGGAGAGACAGTCGAGTGGTCATGCATTGTGAGGATATTTGTACAAAGAGAAGATTATTGAGACAAATAGGAGACTGCTCCTCAAACAATGCTAGCAAAGGAGTAACTTAGTCTGGGAAACAAAGTAGCCAAACTGAGAATAAAAATTTATATTGTTTGCATTGCAATCCATGGGAAAGTGGAATCATCTCCCTTGGGAGCTAGTGGGTGGGATGAGCTAGCTGCCTGTAATTTCTTTAATTCATGCCTAAGAACACATTACATGAGAGCTTTCTGGGAATGCTTTAAAATGTGTAAGGTCAGACTGGATGCCCCAGGTGGTATGTTCTGACTTTCAGACACAAGATAGCTTGTGGCATTCTGCCCTTCAGCCCTAATGTACTGAAGAGGGGGATTATTTACCGGCAAATT